CCGGAGCTCGGAGCCGGGTGCCCACGATGGGCCACAGAGGGGAAACTGAGGGAGGAGAGGTGGGAGCCGGCGGGGCCATGGGTGGGGTGGGGGTCTTGGGGGCAGTCGTGTTCAGGGATGTCCCTGGGTGCTCGTGTCCTTGGTGCCACTCTGGTGGGGCCATGGGGACCCTGGGGACGTGATGGGGACCCGACTGGGGAAATGTCTTTCTCTCTTTCTTTTTCTCTCTTTCTTTTTCTCTCTTTTTCGCTCTTTCTTTTTCGCTTTACTTTCTTTTTCTCTCTTTTTCACTTTCCCCCTTTTTCTCTCTTTCTCCATCTTCTTTTTTCTTCTTTTTCTTCTTTCTCTTTTTTCTTCTTTTTCTTTTTTCTTCTTTTCTTTCTTTTTCTTCTTTTCTTTCTTTTTCTTTTTTCTTTCTTTTTCTTTTTACTTCTTTTCCTTTTTTCTCCTTGCTCTTCCCCACCCTGATGAGAAGACAGGAGGGCGGGCAGGGGCAGACCTGTCGGCTGCTGTTACGAGCGGCGTCTGCCGGGTCCCCGGGGTGTCACAACAGCTCAGTTGAACTCTTCGCACACGGCGCAGGAGGACGCGTCGAGCCCCCAGCCCCGCGGGGCCCTTGGGAGATGGCTTCTCCCTTCGCATCACCGCAGAGAATATGGTTTTGAAAAGCGACACCGAAGTTGGGGAAGAATTGATGACTTTGTCAGGGCCTCCGAGAGCTGGGGGGGAGCGCAGCACCCACCTCCCTCCCGCTCCTGGCCGCTCCCGGTGCACGGGGCGGCTGTGGGTGCGAGGCCGGGTGGTGCACGGCCACAACTTTTCCCTTTTGAGTTAAAAACCTGAATTTGGGTTAGTTTTGGGTGCGCCCCATAGCACCCCATGGCAGGGGGGCCCCCCCTGGCCAGGGGACCAGCGCTGCTTCGCCCTTGGTGACGCTTTGTCCCCATCGCAGGGTGAACCTGGCGCTGGCCTACACGGAGCTGACGGAGGAGCTGTGCCGCCTGAGGAACCTCAGCTCCCTGCAGAGCCAGATCCTCCGTGCCCTGCTGCAGGAGAAGAGCCTCAACGGCGGTAAGGGGGGGCCGGGGGGGCTGCACCCCATGCCTGGACGGGGCTGGGATGCAAAACATGGGGAGACCACGCTGGCTGCCCTCGTCCTTCGGCCGCTTCTGAGCTCCTGGGTGACAAGGGGTGTTTTCTGTGCTGCCAAGCTGATGGGGGCTATTTTCTGTGCTCCCCCCTGCACCCCATTTTGCTTTGCAGGCCAGCGCCACTCCCCGCTGTCCCAGTGCCATTCCCCAGCCCAGCAACGCCGCTCGCCCGCCCCGCAGTGCCCCTCGCCTGCTCCGCCGGGGCGTTCGCCGGCACCCCAGTGCCAGTCGCCAGCACTAGTGCCTTCCCCCAGCCCAGCACCGCCGCTCCCCCGCCCCGCAGTGCCCCTCGCCTGCTCCGCCGGGGCGTTCGCCGGCACCCCAGTGCCAGTCGCCAGCACTG